AGTTAAATTTTCGTAGAGTGAAGTGTCCCCCACGCTCATAAATGTCTAGATTTCTTCTTGTAAGTTCAGAATAGCTGTGTTGGTGAAACATAGTGTATTCCTGGAAAGTACAAAGAAAGAAAGTACTTTCCTGGAAAGTACAAAGTAAAATGGAAAGTTTAAGTGATCTAAGATATTTGCGAAGAATGGAGAATATCCAAAAGAAAATTAATAATAGTTACAATGACGTTGTGTTTAATGACATGTGCATTAGAAAAAAACTGCTACCCAAAAATACTAATATGTATATGTGTATATATATATATATATATATATATATATATATATATATATATATATATATATATATATATATATATATATATATATATATATTTTACAGTTTCAACGTAAGCAAATAATATTCCTCATAAAGCCCTATAATCGAGTCATAATATCCCTAACTTGCAGAGGAGGAGTCACAATAACGTGGCTGAAATATGTTGATCAAACCATACACTAGAAAGTGAAGGGACGACGACGTTTCGGTCCGTCCTGGACCATTCTCAAGTCGACTGTGATGAGAGGAAGGCAATAAAATCCTATCTTTTAACCCTATCTTGCTGAATTCAACAATAAAACGATCAACGAAATAAAACTAATATGTAAAAATATAAAATAAGATTGGATTTCTTTTCTAAAACATGAGGTTTTAATGGATAGCAAAACTTTCTTTTTTCAAATTTGGTAAAGAAATGAAAAATTAACATAGTAAATGTGAGCATAAAGAAACTCAACGTCAAATCCGTATGCGTTGTTCCACATTCATCAGAGATAAGAAAAATGAATTAACAATGACAGTTAATGATTTATTAGATCATTAAGGCAATTGGTTACATAAATTCCTGGGAAGAAGCTAGCACGTAAGACGGAAAAAGAAAGGCAAACATTTCAATACCTTTAAGCGTCAATCCAAGTCAATCCACAATTTTGTACAGTTAATTAGTTAATGAAATTTCAAAACAAAGCAGATTTTCCTATTTGAAATAACATATTGAAAAATTGGAATGCGATCAGCTTCGAGCATCATATATGATCAAAATACATTCTACAATACCCATTTCAAAGAATTGGATTCATTCTGCCATGAAATTAGACGATGAGGTGATCTAATACAAGAATTCGAGGTTTTCAAAGTGCATGCCAATCTTCACTTAGAAAAATCCTGCAATATTGCACAATATCAAACAGAACGGAAAACAATTGTTATCTGATTATTGGCAAACGATTTCCCAACATCAAGGTAAAATAACTTTCCTTTAATTGAGAAATAAAGAAATTGAACAACTTACTACGTCACTTGGAAACGAGTAGCAATGTGGAGAGTAGCAAGGTAAAGTTTTACAAGGTGGAGAATATCACATTAATCATATTTTGTAATGCACTGAAAATACTGATCAAATTTTGTAATGCATTCATTATATTGATCATACTGAGTGATGTATTGTTTATACTGATCATATTTTGTGATTAATTTCATCATATTTTGTGAGGCGCTAATTATATTTTTCGATGCATTGATCATATTGTTCATATTTATAGTGTTTTATTATTCATAATGTGAATCATTTACTATATTATATTTTTATGATGCAATAATCATATTGATCATATTTTGTGCTTTATTGATCATAATTTATGATGTATTGATCATATGGAACATATTTTGTACTGCATTGATGATATTGATGAATAGAGTGAAAAGCCATTTTCATATGCCAAATTATTTAGTTTTTCAACTATAAATATTATTGGATGAAATTTCTTTAGTCCAGAAAAAAAGAATAATTATATCTTAACCAACCAGAGGTCTCACCCATACCGTTAGTGAGGCCCAGAACTATCGAAAATGAAGATAGTTATAACCCTAATTACCTCAAGTCCTAATTGCCTCAAGTCCTTCACTTTTCGGCAAATGTTTAATAAAAAAAATCTAAATTACCATTATCATCTAATTTCAAAACTAAAATTTCCTAATTGTTTATATTTTCAATTTCTGTAAAAACTCAAAATATAATTTTATATATGCAAAAACACACTTTCTAAACAGGAAACTTTGGTTAAGTCTCTTGCACTCATTATAAGGCTTAAACACGAGCTCAGAACGTATACGGAAAACAAAACTTTAAGTTCTTTGTTCCCCACTGAACTACAGTTTCCAACACTGATTACAACATGTAAACTGAAATTACTGGAGCACGTCTGAGAGAAAAGGCTGAAGATAATTATAAATGGAGATAGATATACATTTTTAATGACATAATACTGGATAAAACTATAGATTTAAAACTGAATACAGTAGAAAGAGAAAATATAGACGATAGCTATAATTAGACACATTAAATAGAAATATGTTATATAAACAATAGATTGGTGATAACTATTCAAAGATACTGTTATGATAGATATAATTATGTAGATATATAATGAAAAAAATTGGATTTACCAAAAGATGAAAACTTGATATACTTTAAAAAGCAAAAAGATCAAAGATAACTGAAGACATCCAAGAGTAAGATACAACACACGAGATTAAAAGCAATAGACAAAAACAAGCAAAAATAATCAGATATTACGGATAAAGAATTGTCTTAAATGAGAGTGGAGATAATTAATTTAAAATGTGTATAACTATTGTTGATCATCGGAGCAAACGATTGTAAAAAACATCACTGATTACTGAAATGTTGAACAGGTGGGTTCCATGAAACAGGATAATTCGAATTAGGATAAAAATAAATACATTCATGTACTTATGTAGTTTATGTAAAGAACACAAACTTTATAAACACGAGTGTCGTTTTATTTCGTCCTGAATTATTAATAATAAAACATTACCATAATTAAAATCATTAGAATTTTACGGAGTTCTGTGCAGTTCCTTGAAAAGAAATTTATTATGGATATATTTCGTTAAAGTGAAAATGTGTGAATTACAAAGAAGATGAAATATGTTAGTATCATCAATTAGTGAAGGTACTTTCAACAAATATATTATTAAAGCATATTTGTTGTGTGATATATGGTTTTAAAAACTTAATGCATGTAGAAAAGCTTGTTTGAGAAACCCTGCAATAACGAAAGGCAGGGCAGGTCAGTTTCACTCTGCCAGCCGGCAGAATGCTTCCCCATCCCCACTGTCTTCATCACGTAAAGAAACACAATTTTTCTGACTGAATGGCGGAGGTAAGTGAAAGGGTGAAGGAGAGAGAGGGCGTGCGCTGGAGACTGCTGCTTCTGTGTGTGTGTGTGTGTGTGTGTGTGTGTGAGTGTGTGTGTGTGTGTGTGTGTGTGTGTGTGTGTGTGTGTGTGTGTGTGTGTGTCACCTTTTTATATAAGTATTTCATATTATATTCATATATATATATATATATATATATATATAAATATATATATATATATATATATATATATATATATATATATATCCTCATAGAAGCCCTCAACTTAAAACAAAGAAATCAAAGTGAAAACACTAGATTTATATATAAATACAATATTCAGGTTTACATGCTCGCTAAAAAAGTTTTATACGAAATACAACCAGAATACAAAATAAAAAAACGTTATACGAAATACAACCCGAGGCTAAAGACCGATTTTACTCAAAATAAAACTCGCGAAATAGGATATAAACATTACACAATTTGAATGACTTCAAAAATCACATTACAACATATGGTGTGTAATAAATTATAGTGACACGTCTCTAAAGTCTGATGTATGCGTTAAACGACATGTGAAAAACTACACAAAACTAAAATATATATGTTTCTAAAATATGTATTGCATTGTTACAGTTTACAGAAAATACACACACACACAGACACACACACACACACACACACACACACACCACACACACACACACAGACACACACACACACACACACACACACACATATAACTATCACTGTTCGAAGACCTCATCCAGCTCTTCGGAGGTTGGGTGCATACCCAAGATACAGCAAGCATTTCCTCTCTGGCTCACGACACTAAGGCGCTGGAACATTAAACTGGCTGCTCTTGAGGCTTTAGTTTCCCAAATGAGTTCCTCACCCACCTCCTTCAGGAACTTTAGTGCACATTTATATCAAATATTTAAAGAAAATAAAGCACCTGCAGAAAACCTATTGTAAAATATGAATAGAGGAATCTGCAGAATGCACATACCTGAAATTTTCCTATGAAAAATCTTTGAATTTATATGGAATAATATATGCTGATGGTCACTAGAATTTACATGGAAAAGACTCATCTGGAATTTCTCTCTCTCCTGCAGATGTTGGTGAAGGCTCGGCGGTGTTTGGCCAACCTGCTGGCGATGACAGTGACGTTATCTCTCCTGCCAGGGAACTCCTCCGCCAGGAGCAGGATGCGTGGACGATCTTCAGGTAAGAGAGTGAGATATATGTGGCTTGCACTCGCTCTTTACGGGTTATTCATGCCCGTTCCACCTCTTAGGTGGCTTAATCTCTGACAAGCAGGTGTTCAAGTCCCACATAACCAACATATGGAGTTTACTTCGTGAATGAGGTGATGACCAAACCACACACCAGAACATGAGGAGACGACGACGACGTTTCGGTCAATTTTGGACCATAATCAAGTCGACAATCGACTTTCCTGAGCATAATCTTACTGAAGCAGACATAGGAGACTTAAATACTCATATTTCGCCTGAGTCAAACAAAAACAAGAAACAAGTAACACTTGTGGGCCAGCCATAGGCTTAGTGCCCGCGCAGGAATATCCCTGCAAAAAAAAAAAAAAACTTGTTTTTCGACTTGATTGTCGAGCCACGTTATTGTGACTCGTCGTCTTCCTGAATGAGGGTTTAGGTTTAATTTATTCGCATGCCTAATGCGTCGTAGTTTGGACGCAACTACCGCGTCTAAATCAGAGGCATCACTGAAATTATTCAGTGATGCCTCTGAATAATTTCAACATATATATATATATATATATATATATATATATATATTAATATATATATATATATATATATATATATATTATATATAATATATATATATATATATATATATATATATATATATATTATATATAGATATATATATATATATATATATATATATATATATATATATATCTTATATATATATATATATATATATATATATATATATATATATATATATATATATATATATATATATATATATATATATATATATATATATATATATATATATATATATATACACACACACACACACACAAGCAGAAGGTCATGCCAATCACCGGGAAGCAGCCAAGTCACATAAATACAGAGACCTTGAGCACCACTACAATTTTGTCCCCATTGCCTCAGAGACACTTGGTGCCTGGGTTAAAAGTGCTGCTAGTCTTTTGAAGAAGTAAGGGGCAAGCTAATTGAGACAACTTGAAACCCTAGAGCTGCCAGTTTTGTCTTTCAGCGCCTTAGTGTGGCGATCCAGAGAGGAAATGCTCACTGCATCCATGGTTCCTGCCCGCCATCTCAGGAGCTGGAGGAGCTGTACAACTTGTGACAAGTAGCCTTGTACCCTGCATGTAACCAACGTTGTAACCCTTTTTGTGTATTGACATTTTCAAATAAAGTTAGATATATATATACACACATACTAAAAGAATAGGGGTGGTAGGAGAAGAAAATATCAAAGTGCTCAGTGAGGATCCACAAGGTCTTCTCTGAGTACTCTTTATTTCTTATCTGAGGCTATGGGTCCCTACACTTGCACCTGAGGTGGTACCCCTTCTAAGCATGAAAATTTATATTATATATATATATATAATATATATATATATATATATATATATATATATATATTATATATATTATATATATATATTAATTATATAATATATTATATATATATATATATATATATATATATATATATATATAATATATATATATATATATATATCAGGAAATATATTATGTAAGTGGTGCAATAATTATCAGGGAACAAATTATGTCCGTGGTACATTATAAGTGAAACTAAGAGGAACAAGTCAAGTTAATATTGAACTATCTTCATTACTCCTCATTTCTCCTTTAATGCCCAAGAAAGACAGAGGTGAAGCTTGATGTTAAACAATTTAGTATTCTGTTTGCATCTCATGAACGAATTTAATGATGTGTAATCTCAGCAACTAACATTTAATTGAAACCGCTTTTTATTCCACACTTAAAAAATCAAATAAATAATCATTACACAATTTCAAAATTATGCTTCTGTGAACATTAAAAAAATACTCACAAAAGCTGAAATATTTCCATAATAACTACACAGAAGTCTTGAAAAATAATTACCAGGGGAACAAGTATACTTAGAGAGGTTTACCTCATATAGGCGGACTTAGTACAAGTTTCCACCAGTCCACCAATGTGTTTATGACTAAAGTTTCCTTACAGGTCAGTATAAGCTATTGTTGCAGCCTCTGCATCCCTCCAGAGAATGAGCGTCTAAATGCTCAGTATATAAGAAGTAGTAAGAAGTCATCAGTATATTTTCCTTTTCTTTCCAACAGGAGACCTGGTGACGGAGGATCCTGTAGGGGACATTCGCCACGTTCTGCCGGAGCTCAATCTAGAGAACAACACCGTTATTGATGTTAAGGTTAATGTGGGAGACGTAGCGTATCTCCCTTGTCGGTTTCCTCAACTTTCCACACTACATCAGGTGAGAAGACGAGAGAGAGAGAGAGAGAGAGAGAGAGAGAGAGAGAGAGAGAGAGAGAGAGAGAGAGAGAGAGAGAGAGAGAGAGAGAGAGAGAGAGAGAGAGAGAGAGAGAGATTAGGAGGGTAACAAAGGTGAGGGGGAATGGCAAAGAAAGAACAAACAGATTTGAAATACATGGGAAACGAAGAATGATTGGAACGGACGTTAAAGAATATGTATTCACAAAATAGGAACGGAAATCTGTATGACAAATGGAGGGGGAGGGGTAGGGAGGCGAGGCAGGAAGCGACTCAACATTGCCTGCAGACCAGCAAGGGGGGAAATTGAAGGAAAAACTATATAACTTAAATAAAAAAGGAAAACCGCCCCTCAAAAATAAATGGACGAAAGGGAAATACGAAAAGCGATAGCAAGAAAATGTAAACAAATAAAGATATCAGGAGAAAGTAAGTAGGAAGAGCTGCTCACGTTCTCAAAAAAGCGAGAGGAAGTAAGAGTTATTAACCGCCAATAACGACGACAATAACTAAGCTTATGGAAGTAATTAAGGATCAAAATACCTGCCAACGTCAACAACAATTTATTAAACAACAGATGAAGGCGATGAATAAATAGAATATGAATACAGAGCATCAATTTAGATAATGAAGTGGGATAACGACTATCACTTTTAAAACAAAGTTAAGAGCAGCCCAAGGCAAGGAAAATATGTGAAAGAGGGGAGAAAAGAGAGAGAGAGAGAGACAGAGAGAGAAAGAGAGAGAGAGAGAGAGAGAGAGAGAGAGAGAGAGAGAGAGAGAGAGAGAGAGAGAGAGAGAGAGAGAGAGAGAGAGAGAGAGAGAGAGAGAGAGAGAGAGAGAAAGAGAAAGAGAGAGCGAACCTCCAAGCTCGACCCTAACACCTGAGCGATAAAAGTCGTGAACTGGGATCAGATCCTTTTTAAACCCATTCAGTTGATCTTCCTTCCACCACTTGCCTGAACGCTAACAAACGCAAAATAAAAATAATAAAACAGAACGCAATTATCCTAAAGAGTGGAGGTGAGGAGCCAGGCAAACGATTGTTAAATAAATCGGGAGCAATTTCATTCCTAAATTGCATCCGCTAGTGTCTTGATTACTCACTCTAAGTTCTCGTATTTCACTGGGGGTTATTGCCTTGTTTAAGACACTCCTTGTAGTTAATTTAAACGGCGCACGTCGGTTTCCTTACGTCCGCGCTCCTTTTAAGAGCTGAGTCTAAGATGCCAAAGCTCTCATTGTTAATTGTTTGGAAATGGGCATCAGTCTGCATAGTTGGAACCTCAGCCTCGTGCTTTTTACAAAGCTTAACCAATGGTTAATCTTGCGACGGTGGATATTGTTAACTGTTGAGCGGTTCATGCCTCGACTGGAATGGATTTTTGAATGTTTACAAAATTGTTAAGGGAATGAATTTAACAAGAAGGATTTTAAAAGAAAATAGATTAACTAGAAAGAAAAATAACTAGATTAAAGGCGAAAACAAAACTAGTTCGGACCATTCCTTCCAGCCGTCCCATCCCGAATCCTTTTCCTGCCCCCCTTCCAAGTGCTATATAGTCATAATGGCTTGGCGCTTTCCCTTGAAAAATCCCCCTTCTTTTTTCACACACATGCGAGGTAAGAAAATAGAAACAGACGCATATGCAATACTTAAAATAATTAATTTCGTGGCTCAGAGGTTCTTAAGATACAAAATAGCCACAGATTAAAAGAGAGCAAGAAGCAGAGGCTTGGCTCACTATAGGCTCTTTCCTGCCACCCTGGTACTCAACTATATGTTATTAAAGTTTATGGGCGAGTGGGCCTCGGGGGTAGAAGCTGTCAGGGGGAAGGAATGTGCTACAGAGTCCAACTGCGCTGTCAGGAAATGTTCAACACCGTCCAACTGCGCCTTCAGTAAATGTTCAACACCGTCCAACTGCGCCTTCAGTAAATGTTCAACACCGTCCAACTGCGCCTTCAGTAAATGTTCAACACCGTCCAACTGCGCCTTCAGTAAATGTTCAACACCGTCCAACTGCGCCTTCAATAAATGTTCAACACCGTCCAACTGCGCCTTCAGTAAATGTTCAACACCGTCCAACTGCGCCTTCAGTAAATGTTCAACACCGTCCAACTGCGCCTTCAATAAATGTTCAACGGGACTCGGGCGGGCATGTTCGACCTCTCTGATTTTAAGTAACCTTTTCCTCTCGTCGATTTGTAGATATTTTCTAGTCTTTAATAATCACTCACATGTGAATATGTTTGTTTACGTTTTTGAATTCAAAACATATAAACTTGATTTGTGTCTTAGGAGGCCAGGGATGGGAATTTAATCATAGTCCTTTGACAAAATATTTTATTACAAAAATTGTTAACTCGTTAATTACTAATAATGGTACTGTTTTTGTTCTAAATTGTGTAAGATATATAATTACAATTTAAGTAAAAAGAAACGTCGTTTCTTCATCTTCTGTCGCGTGGTTAGGTCGTCACGACATAAATCTCTTTCATGGCGTTTCTTTTGGTTTCTGGAGAGTTGTATGTAGTCGTATATATTCATATGTAGATTTCTTCAAGAAATCTACATATGAATACTTTTTACATCTCTAATTAAACTGTCTCAAACCCCAATTTTTTTTTTCTCAAGACATAACTATATTACCTTTCTTCAATATATACCGCTCTAAGAACCTTTTATTGAATCTTATTTAGTTTTTAGTTTAGCAAGTATTGTTAAAATGAGCTTCCATTACGTGTTTTAATAACTGATCTCCTGTACGTTTGATCCTCGTGTTGAGCTAAATCTAGACCTTCTCACTTATTTTCATGTGTTATTTGCACACAAGATGTATCAGTGTCCTGCTGGGATGATTTAGTTCAGAAAAGTATAATTTACATCTGTCAAACACTCATCTCACATGTAGGGAAACCTACTCTATCCATGTCTAGTGCATTGATCTCACATCTGGGGAAGCTTTCTCTCTCCCTTACATCTGGGAAAGCATTCCCTCTGTCTCTGTCTATAGTGCATTGCTATAGGAAAAGCGTCCACTGAATCCGTATCTTGAACACTGTTTTCATATCTGGGGAAGCCAAAAGTGTGAGTTCAACTGGAAACAAAAGCGCTTGTCTCTTCAACCACTGTTTTCTTGAAAAGCTAGTGATGTATAATTTCACAACATTTGTGCATTTGCTGATTCTAAAATATTATGCTAAGCTGTCTCAATGTTCTGTCCCGCAGCTGTTTTATGAAACAAGCTGACATCTGTTATCATCGCTGACAACTTTGATCTGCAGCCATTCAATAGGTGCCTTAGATCTTTTAGACAGTACCTAATAATATTTTTCTTTTCTTCTAATTACAAATTTTGAGGGCGTAATTTGGTATTACACATATCCCACACCACACTAAAGTGTCGGAAATGTGTGAGAATAACATGAGACCAGAAAGAAGTACGTAATCAGCTAAAATGATGATTGAAGATGACATGTGACCATTGTGGCTTAAGTTATCAGTCACAGTCGTACTGGAAAATGACATGAGAACAATATGTCCCAAGTGTTCAGGTTTAATTGTGGTTGAGGATGACATGAGACAAGTAAGTTTTAAGTAATCAGCCTCACAGGTGCTTGAAGGTGACATAGAAACAGACCATCAGGCCAGAGCATAAACAGCAGGATATATTGACGTGAGGGTTATGCAGATATCCTTAATCCTGACCATTATGAACCCCTGTCAGCTTCGCTAGTCTCATAAAACAGAATCATACTCATGGGTATATTTCTTCTTACGAAGTTCCAAAGACATATCTCTTTACGTCTCTCGGAAAAAGATATATGTCTTCTCCTTTTTAACATAAGGTTCATTCGCGCATATTATCTCAAAATTGTAAGCGAAGCTGCTCAGCTAAATGTTGTAGTGGTATTCAGGATTTTTTATTTTATTTTTTTGTGCATAAAGTTTCTGTTTTTGGCAGTTGACGTTGAAGTGCATATAGGGAGACATGACAACATGGGGGACTCTGAACATTCAATTCTTTTGTGAAACCCATTTTTCCCGTTCGTTAGATCGAGCGTATATGGTACTGTGGGGCAGGTTAGGCCTTCTCTTGTTTATAATATTATATATATATATATATATATATATATATATATATATATATATATATATATATATATATATATATATATATATATATATATATATATATAAGGTCTTCACTGAATACCCATTATTTTCTTCTTCGAGGCTGGGGGTCCCTACAATTGCACCAGAGGTGGTACCCCCCATATATATATATATATATATATATATATATATATATATATATATATATATATATTATATATATATATATATATGTCGTACCTAGTAGCCAGAACTCACTTCTCAGCCTACTATGCAAGGCCCGATTTGCCTAATAAGCCAAGTTTTCATGAATTAATTGTTTTTCGACTACCTAACCTACCTAACCTAACCTAACCTAACTTTCTCTACTACCTAACCTAACCTAACCTATTAAGATAGGTTAGGTTAGGTTAGGTAGGGTTGGTTAGGTTCGGTCATATATCTACGTTAATTTTAACTCCAATAAAAAAACATTGACCCTCATACATAATGAAATGGGTAGCTTTATCATTTCATAAGAAAAAAATTATAGAAAATATATTAATTCAGGAAAACTTAGCTTATTAGGCAAATTTGGCCTTGCATAGTAGGCTGAGAAGTGCGTTCTGGCTACTAGGTACGACATATATATATATATATATATATGTCGTACCTAGTAGCCAGAACGCACTTCTATGCCTACTATGCAAGGCCCGATTTGCCTAATAAGCCAAGTTTTCATGAATTAATTGTTTTTCGACTACCTAACCTACCTAACCTAACCTAACCTAACTTTTTCGGCTACCTAACCTAACCTAACCTATAAAGATAGGTTAGGTTAGGTTAGGTAGGGTTGGTTAGGTTCGGTCATATATCTACGTTAA